TTCATTCTTGATGTTGGGTAGAGGTAAAAAACCAACATTTAAAGAAAAAAGAAGCGTGGGATGATAGGAAAAAGAAGAAGCCATGTCGGAGGGTGCAGGTTAAGGATCATCCACTATCTTTTCTTGCTATTCTTCTGGGGTTTCACAAAACACCAAAATTGGAGATTCTTGCCGCCCAAATAACGATACCATGTATAATAACTTTAGGATAAAGATATAAGATTATACTATTGTCTTTTTGATTTAAGGTACTAGTTAGTTAGTCCTGACATTATTTATCTAATCACTGATTGAATTAGAATAATCTTTTTTGAAATGATTATTTCTAAACAACTTATTCTTAATGAAACAAATCCTAACAGACATTTTATTAAGATGACTTTGCTTCTAAGTTGGACCAAGGTTAACCAATTTATTATTTCAATTCTAAAAGTTAAATCGTTGAATTTTAATTGTAAATTCAGATAGGATGAATTTTAAAATTTAAAAGATATTATACAAATTGGGTAAAGAAATTAGTACGTGATATATTTTGTGATTATATATTGACAGCATAAATTTTGAGAGCAAAATAAAATACTTTACCATAGTCCGTATGTTAAAATATATTAAAATATAATTAAATAAAATTTATTTTAAAATATTTAAAAAGTTATCGATGTAATTTTCCAATATGTTAATTTATCACATCGCTATATTTCATTTTAAGTATGTCTCTTTTGTTAACATTTTTCCATAATTAAAAAAAAAATGATTGGACTAATACAACAAAAATCATGAAAAAATGTAGGGTAAATCATATAAATATGCAATTATGAAAAAATGTTTATCATCTGTGGCAATATAATATTTTTAACTAAATATAATAATTTTTTGGACAGTGAAAGTCTGTCTATCGAAAAAGATGAAGTTTACAAAACTGTATTGCAAACTGTATCGTTATAAACTATATCGAATAAATAAAATCAATTCGACACAGTTTCATAAACTTCATCTTTTTCGAGTTTCAATCTAATATTTCTCCTAAAATCAATTCTAAACTTAACCAAACTCTCTTAAAATTGAGATATAAACTCCAAAGGATATTTTCAATTATTTGTTGGAATAACCTATCCAAAGTAACCACAAATTCTTAAAACTCAAATAATGAATTCAAAATTTGAAGCTTTATAATGACCATCAACCTACAACATTTTTGAAATATTTTATGTTGTCAATTATCATGATTTATAGTATTTTTATGACAGATTTACTTCAAGAATCAGTGGAATTTTTTGTATTTTTTTGAAAACATATTTTATGTTGTCAATTATCATGATTTATAGTATTTATACGCAATTTTTAAATATAAAAAATACAAAAAAAAAAAGACAAATAAATTAAAATGGACCCAAAATATGTTATTTTTGTTGTCTCAATTTATGTGATACAAATAAAATTTGGAGAGTCATCCAAATTTTCATATTTTAAAAAAAATATTTTAACTTATTAATTATTGTGATTAATGGTGTTAAATTGTCCAATAATATAAATTTTAAAGGTACAACTATAAAAGAAGAATGTACAACACTATCTAAGCACATGTAACACTTGTCAAGTGCTAAGTAGTAGATATTCCACTTATTATATATATATATATATATAATATAATAATACATACCTACTTACATATTTATTTATATAGAAAAAATAAAATAATGTTTGTATACCTACAAACCTTATTCTATAAATAAATGCTTGAAAAGGTAGTTGATAACCAAACTCCTATATAAGTAGTAGTACAATATATCATTTGGCATACATCCATTTTCATTAAAAATGTCTATTTCCCAACCAATCCTAGAATTCCCTATCATGATCATGTGGTTAATATTTTTGGTATTAATTTTCATATGGGGTCTAAGGATTAATATCATAAAGAAGGCTTCACAAAAAGTTTTCTTGATAGATTTTGCATGTTACAAGCCCCTTGCCTCACAAATGTGCACCAAAGAAAAATCACTAGAAATAGCCAAGTCAATGGGGAATTACTCTGAAGAAATATTAGATAAAATGAGAATGTCTATGGACAAAGTTGGACTTGGTGACTCCACTTATTTGCCAAAGACTTTGCTTACAAACTCCCCAAATTTATGTTTGGAGACTTCACTAAAAGAAGCCGAAGATGTTATGTTTGGAGCATTGGATATACTGTTTGAAAAGACAAAAATTGATCCAAAAGATTTTGGTATACTGATTGTGAATTGTTCTGTTTTTGATCCAGTTCCATCCCTGTCTTGTTTGATAGTGAATCATTATAAAATGAATGAGAATGTTTTAAGCTATAATCTTGGTGGAATGGGTTGCACTGCTGGATTATTGGCCGTCCGTCTTGCAAATCAATTGCTTCAGGTCAGATTTGTGTTACTCAACACAACGCTAGCTCACTTTCCTTCATCGTAATTTTTGTGACCTATATATGCAATTTATATAGCATAGTTGTTTATTATAGAAAAATGAAATATAAATTTGTTTTACATAGTCAATAATACATAAATTCTAATTCTGCATTTACATTTGTGCAACAGGTGCATGAAAGCACATATGCTCTAATTTTAAGTACAGAGAACACTTCACACTGTTGCTACTTCGGCAACGATCAATCCAAGATAATACCAAATTGCACTTTTCGCGTAGGAGGAGCCGCGATTCTACTCTCTAATCATCCATCACATAGAAATTCATGCAAATACGAGCTCCTACATGATGTTCATTGTCATGGAGCAAGTACTTCAGATCGTTTATATAAATCAGTTTTCCTAGAAGAAGACGACCATGGTCTCATTGGAGTTTCCATAACTAAAGATCTCTTAATTGCAGCACTCATGCCATAGAAACCAACCTTACTTCACTAGCTCCATTTATCCTTCCCTTATCTGAAAAACTTCTTTTTTTGAAAAATTTCATCATCAGACGAAAAAAGTACGTACCAAATTTCACAAAAATTGATCATTTTCTTCCACACGTGGGAGGGTTACCAGTACTGAATCAGTTGCAGAAAATATTGGGATTTAGTGATTTAGCTATGGAAGCTTCGAAAATTTCATTGAGAAGATTTGGGAATACTTCTAGTAGCTCAATTTGGTACATATTGGCTTATGCAGAGGCTAAGGGAAGAATAAAGAAAGGTGATAAAATATGGCAAATGGCTTTCGGGTCGGGTTTTAAATGTAGCAGTGTGATTTGGCGTACAATAAGGAACGTCGATACGAATGACATGAAAAATCCATGGAAAGAAGAGAGTGATGATGCTCTAATTGATCTAGATTTGGACATCAATGCGCCAGCCCATGACTATTTCCAACCACCTAAATCAACGTAACTTGATTTTATTGTATGTAAGGTTTTATCATTGTCCTTCCATTAAAAAAAATGAGTCATCATTAAGATATTTAACTCACAAATTTTCTGTTGATAATTACTACTAAATTGTTTTGATTTTATTTCATATCAAGAGGAACCAACTACTATGATGTGCACACAACAACTACATTAATACTAGTCTAATAATTAATACATGTACGATGCTGAAAACATATGTTGGCCTCCAATTTTCTATCTTTTGATATTTTTAATGCATTTAACTCTGGATCTTATATATCCGGCCATAATATTTATCTCCTACCTAAGTGTGTTGACTTTACAAAATTTGTAAGCAAAAATAAATTATGTGATGTACTAAGTTCTAATTATAATCGTTGTCTTTTTCACTACAAATTAATAGGAAATTTATGTTATAAAATATGATTTTCTAATTTTCATTCTGATTGAACTAGCTATGAAAAACAGATTCTCATTGAAATACTAGAAAAATTTCTAATTTTTCGTGTAAAATATAGAGTATTAGGAATAACAATTGAACATTTTTCGGTGGAAAATTTCAATGAAAAAATAGTAATTTTTAAGAAGTGATATTTGTCATTTTTGCTAAAATATACCCTTGTTGTTCATTTCTACTTGTCCACATTAAAAACATATTTTTCACTTTTTGCATATTAAAAAACATATTTTTTTTCATGTTTTACTCTCAATATTAATCATGTGAGTATTTATTTTCAAATCATTTTCAAGACCTAAAACTACATTAGTTATATGTATATTGTATCAAAATTATTATTTAGTTCAAAGTGGACAAGTAAAAATGATCAGAGGAGAGTAGTAAAAAATTATTTACCACGTCTGTTTGGTTTTCGTCCAATATCCCATTTTGGGACATCTGTTTAATAAATGTTTTCTTTCTTACTATGTCCCTAATTACTTGTCCACTTCTTTTTTAGTTGCCCCTAATTACTTGTCCATTTTGATAAATCAAGAAATGACATTTTTAAACCTATTATACCCTCAATTAATTACTTTGAAAAAGGTAAATTTTTTTGAAAATCTTAATTTTTTAATTCATCTACTTTATAATTAATAGGAGTAAAATGGTAAACTCTCTATGTCAATAATTGTTTTGTTAATAGATGTTCCAATTCAAAAGTAACAAGTAATTAGGGACAGAGAGAATATAATTTAAGAACACTTTAAATTATCATAATCTTTCTTCGGAACAAACAAAAAATCTAATAAGAAAATATTAAACCACATTCTTATAATATAAAATTATGACGAGCGTTAGTTGACAATCTAATAGAGTATTAAGATTGAAAACAGTAGGAGCAAAACAATCATTAGACCAAAATGTAAAATAATTCAAAAGTATAATTTATCTCGAGTTTACATTTGCATAATTTTTGAAAAATAAAAAACAATTTCTAAATCTAAATGAAAAGGACATGTACGTGGTTGGATTTGGGCCATAGGTTTACTAACCATTTGTCAGGCCCAATCATTGAGGGTAAACTAGTAATTTAACGAAAATTCGAAATTGAAAAGAAAGTAAAATATTTCAGAATTCCCACCAAAAAGAGTTGGGCAATAAATCAAACAGTTTTACAGATCTACACACAATACAAACAAAGGTACTTTCGTCTTCCCGAATCTCTCATCTTATCAGTTTTATTGAATTTCTGGGAAATTTAGCAGAAAATCAGGTGACGCTAAAGACCGATCTATGAATTTAAGTCTTTCTGTGTAGTCAGTCATAACAAGTTTTCTTTCGATTTTGAAAATTAACGTGTTTTCAACAGTTTACACGGTCTATAGTTTGAGATTTTTGTAACCATGATGTTTAGAAGTTGAATATAGGTGAGTTTCTTTTTTCCCTTGTGAGATTGAAGACTAAATTGAGGAACTGATACCTGGCTTTTACTGTGTTGGTGTAGTTTTGAAATAAGGAAAATGGCAGGAAAAGGAGGGAAAGGGCTAGTGGCGGGGAAGACAACAGCTGCAGCGGCTGCCAACAAGGAGAAAGACAAGAAAAAGCCAATCTCTCGTTCATCTCGTGCGGGTCTGCAGGTAATACATAATTTTGGTCTTTATTAAGAGCAGATCTTGTTTGATTTTTATTGAATCTGAAATGACAGTTTAAAGTGTTTGACTATATGATCTACCTAAAATATGATGACACCACCACCAACAATAGCATAGTCAATGTAGTCCCACGGTGATGTGAAGGTAGGAAGTAAGCATAACTTATTTTTACCTTTGTGGTTACTGGGTAGGGAGGCTTTATCTAATAGACCATTGGCAAAACACCAAGCAAATTAAACTTGAGATAGTAGCACAAATTGGAGATTAAGAAACTATGCCGTTACTAACTACTACTTGTACCAATAGAAAGAGAGGAGATGAGGCTAGCCCCGTCTCTCCCACATATAGTGGGACTACTAACCGATTACTCTACTTCTTGATCCATGTACCTTTCTATCCTGTCTAATCAATTATCCTTAGTTCTTTTATACATTCAAAGGAGATGGGTTATTGCCTTGTTTTGTATAATTTCATTTCTACTTACATCCATTTCATCATCGTCTTCTTTTATACATTCAAATATTGACCACCTCTTAAGTCTTGGTGGTGCATTCTTATCACACAGTACCTTGTATGCAAGCCTCTATTACCCAGCTCACTATAATATGATGTATGCCATCATCATTGGTATCTTTGTCTTCTTGTGTTATGGACCTAAGATACTTGGAGCTTGTTCTTATTGGTATGATTTGTGCATCAATCTTCACTTCCACATCCGTCTCGTGCGTTGTCATTGAATTTGCACTCCAAGTAATCTAAGGTCTGTTATTGAATTTGTACTCGTCTCCAAGTCTTGCTTAACCTGAACTTTTAGACTCTAAGATCTGTCTCCAAAAGTTCTAGGCTATTGTTAACTCCATTGCTCGTTTTATCAAACAATACCACGTTATCAGCAAATTACACACACCACAACACCAATGCTATCAAAAGGAAGCAAAAAACTCAAAAAAAGCTCTAAGGTTCATTGGCGCTTTAAGTGTGAGGTGCAAATAAAACATGAGCTTTAATGAAAAAGGCATAACCTCCATTAGCTAATTGAGAACAAAATATTTGTTCCATAAGCAAATATAATCTTCTTCAATGCTTTAATCAATAAGCTTACGGATGTAATTAACATTAAAGTAGGTCTTAAATTCAGTCGGGGAATATTTGAAGATCAGCATCTTATGATCATAAACATGGCCTCAACAATGTATAATTGCAACAAAGTGAATTACCATAAAAAGGTGTCTCATTCCAAGCCATATACTATCGCATAGGATGCGACTGGCGCTGGCGTTGCAGACACTTCGAAAATGCACACATAAAAAACAAACTAGGATGCATCTTACTCTTTTGGGACCTTGAATTTTTTGGATTCATCAAATATTTTTAGGGGTGGCATCATTTTTTGATCTATTAGCTGTAAAAAGTGCATAACATTTAAACTCTCTAGAATGATTTATGGTTTTTTCTTTTCTCCAGAACCCTCCTACTATTTTGATATAATTGTTTTGACATATTTGGGGGGATTTTAGTTTCCTGTGGGAAGAATTCACCGTCAGCTCAAGACCAGAACCTCTGCCCATGGCAGAGTTGGAGCAACAGCAGCTGTTTACTCTGCTGCAATTCTGGAGTACCTGACTGCAGAGGTTCTTGAATTAGCTGGTAATGCAAGCAAGGATCTTAAAGTGAAGAGAATCACTCCCAGGCACTTGCAACTGGCCATTCGTGGAGATGAGGAACTTGACACCCTTATCAAAGGTACCATTGCTGGTGGTGGTGTCATCCCTCACATTCACAAGTCCCTCATAAACAAAACCACCAAAGAGTGAAATTCTCCTGTGTTATCTTAGATGTATCTTGACTAATAACATCGCCTGTGCTTATGTTTTTTTCCTCTTTATCTGGGTTGACTAATGACAGCACTGTTGGTTGTGTTTGATTAGAATAACTTATCTGATGTAATGAACTTATGAACATATTAGTTTGATGTTTTCATTTTGTTGGTCCTAGTTGGTATGTGGCTTGTTGATGCCTGTATGACACTGTTTATCATGACACTATCAGTTTTCAATGCAGTGGCTGCCAAAGTTTGTGTGTATTAAGCTGACACATCTGTTTACAAACTTTATATTTGAGAATGTGTCTAGGCATTTAGAATTTTTACTCTACTTAGGGAAGAAGTACTGGAAGAGCAGTGCTGTTTGAGGTCATCTGTATTGTTACCAAGGAATTAAGAATGTGATGTGGGGTGATCTTTATCTGTATTGGTTTTTGAGAGCTTTAGTTTCTAATCTTTGTAGTTGTGCAAAGAAAGAATCAGCGTAATCGAGAACTTACGTTTCTTTTCTATAATCATAACTTTGGTAGAAAAATCCTACTTACAAGTTTCAAGTAGCTTCATCAATATCAAGTTCTGATGATGTTTTTGATCAATTGATAAACATGTCTGAATTCTTCTTTGATATTTTGGATTAGATAATGAAAAAGACAAGATCAAAGAAAATGGAAGGAAGGTTTCTTGAAAACAAAGAATATATGATGAATAATTCGTGATGGCATCAACAGGTGAGGCTGCCACATGATCTGATCTTTCCTCATATCATATTTGAACTAAAAAGGGAAGTTTAGATCATGCTGGCAGCTTCAACTGATAGTGCTGCACGGTGTAAGTAGTGGTGGAGCTAGAAATTCTAACAAGAGAATTTATCTGTAATTTTAATTGCCCTGCCCGAGTTGTATAAATAGGCCAGGATTCAGAATTGACGTGGATGGGAAGAACCAAGGAGATGTATTTATACAAGTTAAGTCTAAGTACTTTAGGATATTGGAAGTGGTCCACGCTGCGATTAGTGATGGAACCATAATTTTTCATAAAAGAAGTAAACATATGAATAAACTAAAAGGATTCAACACATACTATATAAATAAACAATAATTTTAATCTTATATATACAATGCCATATATTGGGTTGTGACAATAATATTTATGTTTGATACGATAAGTGACTCTTAGAAAGTCCCTTTTTCATTTCCTTATAAGGAGATGGAAGGTGAGAAATCAGTGTTTCCATTTTTGCACATATTTATTCTTTGTCAGTTACTTATATAAATAGATATTTATTAAGATACATCCATGGTTTCTCTTATACAACTACTTCAATACACAAACATATGTAAATTATTGGAGTCTGATCTGTAAAGGAAAAAGGAAAGAGAAGAAATTAAGGGGAATAAAGTGAAAAGTTATTAATTAGTGATTTTGATGTTAATTAGTTTTGATTCCTTTGTTTGGTTTTGAGAAGATGGCAACCAATAGATTAATGAAGAATCACCCAATTTTGATTGAAGTTTCCCATACTACTAAAAAATAATAATTTATATGTGTGCTCTTCATCTAGAAGAAATAAGAAATATTTCAATGCAATTCGGTTTCATACTTATGTAGTAGTATAGGAACTATTCCAATTTCGGTGAAGTTACAAATTAGAAAAGCTCGAAATTTTTTGATTGAATCATGATACAAATTATAAAGAACAAAAAAGATCGCCTAATCATTCTATGATGAATTTGTGTACATAACGGGTATACACTACAATAATAGTCTAACAACTAAGCATCAATCTAGTGAAAGAAAAAATGGAGTTTAAGTTAATTTATGCACCAATAGTGTATATTTACTGTTGACCTATCGAAAAAAAGAAATTAAATATCTTTCCTCTATACACAGGCCTTGGAACAGCGCCTTATGATGTGAAATGCAACTATGCAAGTGTCTTGTCTTTGTCAACGTAAGATGCTACTTTCTATAATTGTATCAACAACAATATATTCATTATTATAATTTCACAAGTTGAGTCTGGGGAGAATAGAACGTAGGCAGACCTTTATGAAGTACAAAATCATTTTTGATAGACCGTCAGCTCAAAAGCAAAGTATGAGAGGAGGAATTTGCTAGCCCTGTGGTTCCCCTATATAAGGCGCGACAATACTCCATTAGCTACTAATCTTGGACCTCACACTTTTTTCTCCAAGGAGTTGGAGTGTCCGAAAAGTATAGTGATTAGTTAATTGTTGAGTAGTACGTACTCAAATGAGCTTTTGCAGAAAATTGGAGTCCAAGCAATTTCATTTGCATGCGTACTCAAATCACTATTTCATTGTTCTTTCTACTCTTGGGATAGGCAATTATTTCTCAAGCTAGTTGAATTGAAATAATGATTGTATTCTTTATTTTTATGTTTGAACTGCAAGATTATCTAATTTTAATATTCTTAATTTTAACTTTTGAATGAATATAGTAATTCGAATCAACAATTTTACATAAGATTTAGATTCGTGACCAAATGTTTGAACTTTTTTTCTGCAAAGTCAAGAGGAATAAATAAGTTATAAAAAGGTGGTTCAAGATTGAAGAGAAAAAAAAAACAGAAAGAAGTCATGACGACTACACATGGAAAAGTGAATGAATATAATTGGAGTCAAAGATTACTTAGTCTTTTAGACAGTGATTTTGCTGTTTCTCAGTCTTACTAACTTTTAGTTTCATAGTATATAATTGAAGAATATAGTATATTTATAATATAATGTGTCGAGGTATATATGCTACTTTTGAACCGTTGAATCTCAAAAGAGGAAGGAGTGGGTGTGAGAGCATGAACTAATAATTATGATGATCAATAATATTGATTCCTCTTCTCTTTTGTGAGTGAGGCTTTTTCACCGAGGGGTTCAAAATAAGAAAAAGTCATGGTATATATAAGTAAATAATTTTAATCATGTAAAAATAGTGTAAATACAGTAGATTAATTTTTCATTTGGGAATATATGTCCAATCACTATGAAGTTACTCTCTTCTCATTTGGTACTTATCAGTCCTTAAGCACAAGTTCAACAATCAGGCTCCATTGTCGTCCAGCGGTTAGGATATCTGGCTTTCTCCCAGGAGACCCGGGTTTGATTCCCGGCAATGGAACTTTTTTGATACTTGAAGGCTTAAAAATGAAGGAACATTTTATATCTGTTGTTTGTAATCAAGTGAAGGGGATTCTTGTCTCAATAGAATCACAATAACAGACAAGTTATCACCACTACCTTTACTAAATGCATTGTGGACAATGCAGTCTGCTAAAGAGGACGAGTTGATAGATGTCTTGTTCTCCTTATCATGTCCATCGTGTAAAATATCACAGACATCCTGGGGACTCATTCTTTCAAATATGCCATCGGATCCTATCACCACATACCAGTCTTCAGTTGACAAACGTCTCCAACCCGTGACCTCTGGTTCAGCAATAACTCCATATCTAGAAATACCAAAAGAAAATAGATTAGAACAAATGCCCTCTGCTTGCTACCTTGTGTTTATAGAATTCAAAGACTGTTGAGTATGTCAAAGAGTTGAAGATGCACCTTTTCAAACGAATATCACCAATAGACCGTGAGACAGCCAATATACCATTGACACGAGGCACACCAACAACGAGGACAACCCCACCAGCTGCTTCAATTCTAGCCTTTTCATCATCCCTATCAGGATGGTGATCCTTCGTTAGTTCCTCAGCTTGAAGTCTTGTGATCAAATCACCTGAGATATTCAAGCAGAACAGAGAGAGTAAAAGAACCGTAAGAAAAATGGACACGTGGTGACAAATAACAGGCATTATAGCTGTGAGCAACAATGTGATAATCAACAGAGTTTTAACGAACAATAGTCAGAAGCCTTTAAACCTTCATTTTCCTGATCAAAATGAGTTTTCCTCGAACATATGAGTGCTTTTGAATCACCCAGGTTACCAACTAATAACTGCCCATTCATCCAAAGAACAACTATTGCAGTTGATCCAGAAATGTAGTCATTCTTCAAAGCTTCCTGCATATAGAAATTGATTTGAAAATTGGAAGGGAAGGTTAGGAAAGCAACAAACACAAGGAGAACTGTATGTGCCTGTGTAAACTCTGAATCTATGTCTTGGATTGTTCCCAAGAGGGCTTTCTCTAGAATTCCAAGTGTCGACTCATCATCAACTACATATAATGCCCCATTAGAACTGTGTAAACATCAAGATATCAATACTTGCGCTGTCAAGAGTAGATTAATAGGTATAAATGGCTTTCTCTAATAGTTTGAAATGCATACGAAGTGTATAAATTATTTTCATTAATGTATGGTTATTAACTAGTACGTAAATGCAATGAATGATTTGAGGCCGAGAAATGAAGAAGATGCAAAATACAACCATAAAACACATGTATGATGTGACTGTATAAGGTTAAAAATAATTCGTATATATCTAAGTGGTGACTCATAAGGAAAAGTGGAAAACCATCGGAGGTGCTTAAAGGATTCCCAAAGTTGCAAGGGAATGAGGATCTCCATTTAGGAAGTTAAAACAAGTTAGAGGTGTTTCATATCATTTATACGACAACGGTCAGATCGGGGGTTTGACAAGATACTGATGAAGAAAATAACTAGAGATACTAACCAATCGAAAAATATTCTAAATTTCCATAGGACAAGTTACAGACCTTTGAATTTCAAGCTATTTTGACCTGCTTCTTCATGCTCTTTACTGTGTGAAAAGAGATTCTTGTATGTGTTGAAAACAACGTGCAATAGAAAGTAATCAAAGAATTTCTGAGAAGCCATCTCACTTGCTTCCTTGCCTCCATGTCCATCAAACACTGCCGCTATACCCACACTAGCTTCTTCCACACCATCTTCACCTAGTGATCATGCAGAAAAAGATGAGCATCACAAACCAAGAACTTCACAACAACAACAAACCCAGTGTAATCCCACAAGTGGTGTCTGGAGAGGGTAGTGTTTACGCAGACCTTACTCCTACCTCGGGGGGAACTTCACTAAACTATATAATTTGTTTTGATGTCTTCAGTATCATTTACAACTACACGACTGACCATCATAATGTCTACAACATTTGGACTTCGTCTGAAGATTTTCTACTCTTAACAGAGTTTGAGAAAGATACATTGCTAAAAAGTCCAAGTTAAGTATAAGAAATACGAAAGACAATAGCTGCATCTCTTTCATCACAATTAGATATGTGAATAAGGCAAGAGGTTAGAGTTTGAAACTACCTAAAACAGGAACAGTAACACGAGGATAGCATGTCATACGATCTTCTTGGTATTTCCTACGCCCCTGATGCGTAGCTATAAGGCAATTATCTGTTCCATTTTTAATAGCAGTAGAAAAATCCCACAGCTGACATTCAGGCGAGTTGAAAACTGCTGAAGCACCACCCTCATCATAGGCCATCATACAAGATACTGAGACCTCATATGCACAACTCGAGCAAAGAAATGTTACTAAGAGAAGTGCTACCTTTTCTCCTTCCATTGAAAACTCTGCTATAAAAACCAAGCCTTAATGACACAATATTTTGATCCAACTGTTCATTTTTGAGTCCATTACCAATGGCAGAGCCAGGAATTCAAAAAAATAATAATCTTACGGCTAACGAGATTCAACAACTTATACATAGTCAGTATATATAATCTAAATTCACCTTGCTATATGCAAAGTAAAACGAAAAGAAAAAGGGAAACACAGAACAAAACATAACAATTCTTCCTTGGAAATAGTTTCTGAAGGAAAAAAGAATTTCATGGTTAATATTTTCCTTCACACCAAAAATACCAAGTATTATTTTTGATTAATTACTCACATACTCATAACAAAGAGAGACAGAAAACCTTGGTGAAAATACACCTATGAACAAACAAGATTTAACTCAATTTGGTAACAAGCAGTTTAATTAGCATTAAATTTGATGAAATATAACGAAATTATTAAATCCGTGCATAGATTACCATAAATGAAGGTACCAATCTTGCATCGTTTGTGCGATTATGGGATTGAGAAAATTCAATTTCCTGACTGAGTTGCAAAAACTCAGCTGGAGAGGGCCGGGTAGTAAACTACTTGGCCCAATATACCCTTTTATGGAAATCTTTCGAAATTCTACACAAATCTCATAGTGTTAAAAGTTAATTACAATCTATTTCAAGTCTTTTCCAAATTACAAAAGTTCCATAAAATACATCCCAAAATGCTCTGATACATCGCGTTTCAGATTCCGATACATCTCTCAACGTCTTGCTACATCGCATCTCAGTTTCGAATACATCACTCAAAATCCCGATACATCACGTAAAATAATGTATCCGACTAATACATCACATAAAGTGATGTATCCAAGAATAGGAGATAGTGAGAATTTTTGTAATATTTTCAATGGTAGGGAATTTAGGGACTACAGTAAAATAATTTGGGTATTTAGGTAAGTTTTCAAAATAAAAATACTCCGACTGATTTTTATATAAATGTTTACATTAATTAGCTATGGTTAAATTATAACTTCAGTATTTACTAAGCACACACCTTAAGAAACAATAAATAATAGGGATAGTGTTACAATATTATCCTTTGAATATATTTTATCCCATTTAAGCAAAATTTATCTAAATACACAACTTATTTTTTTCAAAATAAAAATACTCCGACTGATTTTTATATAAATATTTACATTAATTAGCTATGGTTAAATTATACTTCACTATTTACTTGGCACACACCTTAAGAAACAATAAATAATAGGGATAGTGTTACAACATTACCCTTTGAATATATTTTATCCCCTTTAAGCAAAATTTATCTAAATACACAACTTATTTTACCATATTCTCTAAAATTCCCTACCATTTGAAAAAATTACAAAAATTCCTACTCTCTTCTATTCTCGGATACATCACTTTACATGATGTATCGGGACGTATGCAGTGTATCGTGACGTATCCGATATCGAGACGTTACGTATCCGGACATCGAACGATGTATTCAAAAGCGGGATACGATGTATAAGAAACATTTTGGGATGTATCCGGATTCCATCAAATTTAAAAGATTTTTGTATAGAGTAGGGATAAGATATAATTAGCTCTTAACACTATGAGGTTTGTGTAAAATTCCCTAAATTTAATGCTTGGAGAAATATATTAGATATTGAATTGTATTTAGTATCAAGGGTAAAATAGACACAAAGTAAATTATCTTTTAATTTTTCAAACAAGACAAGTATTGTTGGATAAATATTTTACTATATTGACAAGTAAAGATGGATGGAGTCATGGAGAGAGTACTAAAATATTGCTCAAGGTAGGAGTTGTGCGTGCGCACAATCCACCATTCTCAAATTTCACTTACACGGTATAGTTGTTGTAGTATTTATAACATATTTTTAGCTTTATAGTAAATTCAGTTCACAAGATATGGGTATGATTACATTTACATCACTCTTCCCATTCTCCACCCACTTCTGAGATTATACTAGGCATACTGTTGTCGTCGCCACCCTAACATGTTTTTAACTTGCTAGGACATATCATATGGATTAGTAGTATAAGTTTCGTAGATTAAATTTAGTATAAGATTACTCAATGGTTCTGTGAAGAATCGAGTTATAAAAAACCATAGTCGAATTTTTTTAAGAGGAAAGCAGTGTATAAACCTTCGTATAGTACTCATTGATGATTCATACCACCAGGAACGGGAAAAAGAAATTCAAAGAAAAACGTGAAATTAGATAATCATACATGTGCTATGATGATCTTGAACTTTAAACTTTACACGAGAAAGGTAGGTATTATACAAAGGGAAAGAAACATAAGTAGACGCAAAGACAATTCTTTCCCAATACTTACTTCGCATGTGCAGTATCCTGCAATGCAGTCATAGTCGATAAATAGCTGAATTGACAAACTTGAAGAAGAAATTAAGCCTACAATCACGTTAATTCGATCAAATAACGGAGCAGGAAAACTTGTTTTAAACGTCAAGGATCATTAGAGAGCATGACCCGTTCACATTCTATGTCATGCAGTTCCGCTGGTTTGTCTCCATCTCCCAGCAACAAAATTGGACGTATAATTCCAAGTAGGCAAAGATCATTGAGAATGGTTTCCATCAACAAGGAAATGCTACAGCCTAAAATCAATATTGAAGAGGACGACTAGCTGTTATAAGAAAAGCAAAAAACGTTTCATGACCTGACAACTATTTCTCACTAAATTCTCTCTTCATTTACATTACAGACAAACCTAGATAGAGAAGGCAGTTTCACAGATATTGTCCCAAGTGCTACCATCATCACACTTCATACAACTATCCATACACTAGAACATGATGTGGCCTCCGAACATTTCAAGACAAAAACAGAAATCTGGTGTGCATCCCCAACCATTCAGTTTCCGACATTCACTCTCTAACATCTGACAAAAAACAATAACACATATCAAACACTTGACCCATTGAATGTTTCATACATCTCCAGAGACCAGTTTTCAGAACTAGTACACATTGCCTTAGCCTGGGGGAGATTGACATTGGTTTAGTTATAAGAAAGAGAAAAAAGAATGAGAAACTTCAATCAGAGGCTCAATATATTTATATAGAGGAGGAGACATCAAGCAAAAATGACTAGTATACTTAATGTTCAATACTTGGTGATGCAATGACAACTAGCGAAAAACAAATGAGATATGTTATAGGATAAGCAAACAAGGGGAAATAAACGCAATGGATTCACCATGTAATCACTTATAATAAATCACTCAATTTATGAACCATGGCACCTTATGAATGTGTCCCGGGGGAGGATAGTTGTTTCCAGTGATGCAGGAATCTGATGCTATCTTAAAATACAATTGCAGCAAGAATCATTTAGGAACTTAGAAAGAACAGACTCAAAGGTTAAAACACAAAGTTTGTGATTAATCTGGTTACTTATTGAAAACAATGAGTATTTAATTTTTGAGAAGCAATATTCTCTTATTTCCTAGATGTTGAAAAGTTTTTAGTCAATAACAGTTCCCTACATCATGCACAGACTCATTAAAGAAGCAAAAGGAAAAAAAAAGTTATGTAGAACGTTTGAAAGTATTATGACCACTAAAATAGGGAGGTTGTAAACAACATCACCTCTGTCATTGAGATCACTAGAAAAAGTGGGATTCATCTGAATATTGTCTTGTATAGGACCACTTCCTGTAGGTATAATGTGGGGTGTGAAGCAAAGATCAGCCCCACTTGCATAGTCACTTGGCGTACGAGTCCCAATTTGATCACTTAAATAGATATCCAAGCTAGCTGATGAAGTTGTTTCTACCCTTCTCTTCCACTTGAACCTTCACCTAACAGAGATGTGAGAGATAGAAAGAGACAGAAAGCAGTGCGGAGATCTTCTTATATTATTCACTTTTTCGCATCGAACAGCTCAGTTATTGTAATACCTTTCTTTTCGCTTCTCAAGATATCTTTGTACTGATGCTTTCCTGCTTGCGGGGCTCTCCACTGCTTCTGTGGACATAAAATAGACGCAAATTTAGTAATGTCCAAGGAGTAATTTGTGGGGAAAAGAGAAGAACAAAAACATAACTAAGAACATACCAGGATTATCATTGTATAAGCGGTTGCTTTCTTCTATAGGAACTCGAGAAACCTCACTCATTTTCACTGTAAGGGGCTCAAACTAAAATGTTAAGGAGTAGGGGATACAATAAACATCTTCCTGGACGCTCCCAGGAAAAAGACTCGCCACCTCACAGACTCATAATTTAGACATTACGGATCATAAAGTAGTTGTATCTTTTCACATTAACTTCTTATGGTTGATTTATTTTTGCAGTAACCTAATAGCTTGGTTCAAAAAAAATCCAGAGAAACAAAGACTGCTTAATTCACATTCTCAACTTGCCATTGTAATCAAGTACAAGAAGATAGAAGTAATGCAACTAATGACCTGTTTGAATAGTCGGTACCATATTAGTATCTAGGCGTAGTTTACTATTTGCAGCTTGTAAGCAGCATGCTGAATGTCGAGCTGCTACAGTGGCATTCGATGGAGTTTCTGAAGGCACACAAAGAGGGCTTGAAGCAAGACACATGATTTTTTGTGCCTGAAAAGATGCAAGTTGGCCATATCAGGAAAAAAGTGGAAGTATACTGATCTGGTGAAGTTCCCAATTTTCAGCAAGCTTAAATACCTTGTCGGCAGGCACATCATCATAGACATTCACCTTGCCTCTATAGAAGATTGTCATTTGTCCTACTGGTTTATCTGCTGAACCTATTGTTCTGGAATCACCAATGGAAAAGCTATCAGTTTTTGAAGCTAGATAGGATGCAGTTTCCTTTGGGGGAAATGCTAGTCAAATGGAGGCCTGCGCCCCTATAATTGTGATGCCATTTTTTCAATAGAGTATCTTCTAATGAACTATGAGTTACAAAGGCATGTGGATAAATAAAAGGTTAAGATGAATATATTTGGATCGGATGATTTGTCAATAATAGAGAAAGGATCTTACATAAGTTCTAAAATGATAAATTTGCAATCACAAAAAAAATATACAGAATGAAACTATTACTATAACAAGAGATCACCAGAGGATCGTATTAACAAAACTACAAGTAGGAGAGGAACTCTGACTTTGATAGGCACAAGCTAGCCGCTATTTGATAGAAACATGAAAGTCGAGTATTCAAGAGTAACAATTTCGAAAGTCAGGTGCCTTTTCTTTAATAACAAAAAGTAAGTAGCCATCAGTCATCCATTGAACACGGTGCTGAGCTTATTGTCAATCAAATATATCAATCCTAAACTTGTTAAGATTGACTATTAGAATTTACCAGGTCCATTCCAAACTTCATTCCCTTATTAAATTTCGAGCTATATACAGATTTAGAAGGTTTATTCATTGCAAAAAGCATTCAAGATGACTATAACTCACCTAGAAGGAGCTGAATTATCAACAACAGCGACCGGAAGGGCAGTAATATGACTGGAAAGATCAGGTCTGTCCTGCTGATTTCTTCTATCAGGCACTGGTTCAGAAGGTTCGCCATAGGTATTTTTCCCTCTCTGGACCTACATTAGTTTTTAGAATTATTTAATTTTATCATATAAACATGCACTGTTACTTCACAGGCAACCATCATATAATAATTCTAGTACTAATTATCAGTGCAGTATAACAAAAGGAGCTCAAAATAATGCTTGGAGATATAAAGAGGAAATGCACTAGATAATTGAAACGCACTCGCCGTACATGGGTATCTGCACGAGGAATGTGAAGTTTCTTCCGAGTTCCGGCGTCAGTATCCGGCTCGAGGAGAGCCTTCAACGATATAACTTGCTGAATCGCCTGTGATTTATTCCATGACGGCTTTCTCATTCCTGTACGGAACACAGTAACGACAAATTTTCCACATATCACTATGCTTAAACGTATTTTTAAGAAATTTTTATTCGATTTCGCAACCTAAATTGTTTGTATATGTAGTGAATACAGAGGCAGAGGTGAGAGGAGTACCTTTTTGTTTGAGGTAACGACGGCAGTCTTCGCGTGTGAGCTGAGAAATGTCATCGTCAGTGAGTTGATTGAGAGGTTTATCGAGAGGTGACTTGGAAACTGTTTCTTCCGGCGGCATGCTGTCAAGTTCAGGCAAAGCTCCTCAGATAATCGGAAAGAAAAAAGTTATGCGAAAAGTTTTGACGGGGGCAATTTCAATTTGTGACCCGTAAAGTAGTAGGGGTCAGAAAGCCTTCAGTCCCATGAAGCCACACACCCAACAGTCATTATCATCAACTTTAATTCCTCCCGCTCCATTTTTTTTTTTTAATCCTCCTCTCACCCCTTTTGCTCTTTTGGTGACTCGAACTCGCAACTTTTAAGTTGGAAGCAAAGGATGTTTACCGTCCGAACAATTTTTTTTTACTAACATCAGTTTCTTTTTTGTTTTGAAAAAAAAGATAAATATATATTTAAACTATCATGATATGCAAATATCTTTCGTCATAATTTTGAGATATTGTTGTCCTATGTTCAAAAAACTAAAGCATATAAATTCAAATTTCCCTTTACTATTTATTTTGTCAATAAAAAAAATTCTAACCAAATGCTTTTTTTGAGCGTAAAGGTTCTATTTAAGCGAATATAAAAATAAAATCTATATATATATTTAATTAGTATTTTTAAATTTCACTCGCGTGATTATACTAATTTGTTGTTTTGTTGATGTTGTGATGCATTCAGAGGCTAAGGGCCCTGTTGACAGCTGCTCTGTTAAGCAATACTAATACTGTTCACTTCTGTAGCTCTGTATTAATTCTGAAGTGTAAATAGTATCATCAATAAATTCCTCATGAATATTGTCAGTCAATTCTCCATATAAAAACAAATTTGATACTTAAAAATCTATTTTCTAAAATTTTCAAATAGCACTTTAGTAGTCCTTTGTCACAATTCACGTGTCACATCTTTCTTTCTTTTTCATCAACTATAATAAAAATAATAATTTTTAAAAAAGAAAAAGAATATGATATACCCTCAATTCTGATTAAGCATGAAAAAGTAGTTAGTAGTCTACCACAATTCTTGATGGTGGTAGTATTGATGTGAATTTGTACCAAACCTTTTTTTTTTTTCGAATATGTGATGACAACTTGAGTAGTTAATATGGATTGCTATAAATATAATTATGGTCACAATTTACATTAATTTTCCGATAATTTATCGCCGACCAAATTGAATGGTGCGGGTCAATCAATTTTCTTATCCTTTACATTGGAGGCCTTGAAGCTTTTGGTTTGCTGCGGATAGAGTTAGTATATTACGGTTACGAATTTGATCAAATTTAATAATTTAAATTTAAATTTAATTTTTATAGAAAAAATACATGTATAAATAATATTTTAGAATTTAAAATTTAATAATTTTGACTCCGCTTATTTTTGCATGTCATGAAGATGAATATTTGTCGATCAAAATTCAAATTAATGGACCACCATGAGCAAATGAGTAGATGGGCACGAATATTGTTTTATAATTCTCCACGTCTGGGATTTGGTGCATTAAATAAAAATTTAATGACAACTTAACAATCACTTTCAGAAAATCACCTTTCTAAAAAGGTTGTTAAATCTGTTACTTATTTAATAATTGCATTTACATATATGTAATGTTATTTCCATTTTTGTCTACCTTTTATCAGTTAAGGACCACTTATCATGTAAAGTAAATTTGAAATTGGATCGAATTATTTTTTGTTAGGTTAAGTAGTTTCACTTGATGTATGAGCTGTGATCCTATTTGATACTACATGTATAAATATGATGGAAGTATACTTCTTTTTAAAATAATCATTTTGGTCTTTAACTCATATAAGCTAGTAAAAACAAACTTTGTTTTTATGGTCTAACAAGTATATATTGAGGGCCCTCCGTATTTTCCTCTATGCACAACTTACTTCCATACGCCATTGAATGTTTTTCATAATAAAATTATAATTTTCTTCAAATCTTACTAGTTAGACTTTTGAATTGAATTGAACAATATTATAAAAATATGTATCTTACGCTTGTAGCTTGACAACTCATGAACGTCGGACACATGTTGAGAACTTCGGTTTATTTTAACAAACAAACAATAAAAGTAGCGATTATCTTTATATATAGTTTTAGGCCAGACTTATAACTTTTAAAAATATATGTGAAGAATCATCTAAATAAGCTAAGGACCAAATGTAATCAAATTAAGGACCATTTATATCGTTTTCTCCTCTCTCTTTTTTGATTTCTCATCCGGTGTCCGAGCCCACATTGAAGCTCCAACTAAATTCGAATCGTGCTCTATTCAGAGGTGGCGCTCCCAACATGATTTTCTTTTTCGTTTGCTCCTTAGCTGCCTCTTTGTTTGCATTTTCTTCAAATGGGCTCCCACCTATCCCACAAATCATAAACCTTATATAAAATCAAAATTAGAAGGCTCTTACAGTACGCTAATGTTCTTTGTTAGGTCATTTTTTAGATTTTATCTATACTTTTAAAAGTTGTACAATTATAATTCATGAAAAACTATCTTTTACGATAACATTAGATTCGAATTCAATGATTGTTTTCCTTTATATAATGTTCAACCTTACAAACAGAATATGTCGCCTAATATTTGTATGACTGCAAATTTTGGACTATGATCTCATATTTTTTCATAAGATTTTTAATTATCTTTAGATTGTGCTCTAAAAAATTCATAAATTACGATTAAAAAAAAAAAATGTCATTCAGCAAAATTTTCACTGTCATTATTTGGGTTTTTTGGCATGGACCTATTGCTGAAGAATTGCGGGCCAGGCCCGAGCTGATTTTGGCCACTACACTTGAACACAGATTAAAGAGTCCTTTAAATTAAAAGACAGATGCAAAAGCAAACTACAAATTCCCAACTTCATTTATATAGAAAGCCAAATAAAATATAAATGAGGTAGAAATATAGTCATCATGGTGAAGAGAAGGTACCAGATTTATTAGGACATATGTGATACTTTTTCTGTTCTAATTAATGTGATATATAGTGGTGGAGCTAAGAATTTATAAAGGGTGTTTAGAAATAGCACAACAAAAGCTTTTTTCAAAAATTAGAACTAGTGAGATTCAAACACACGAGCACTTTCTCATTCCAAGGAGGTGAAATCACAGGGCTATAACAATTTGTTATGTTAAAGGTGTCCAAAATATGTTATTTAATCATTTCATGTATCATTTTATTGGTATATATGATTTTTTTTCCGATGAACCATGTGGCTACGCCACTGGTGATATATAATTTAATTTGTCATAGAGTCAAAGAAATATATGATGACTTTGTAATATTTCAAAATTAATCTTAAAATAAATAAATTCTTAAATAAAAAACTTACCTCCGTGGATTTAATCAAATAAGATAGATTTAAAATGTTGATATTATCATTAAATATTCACAAAATTTTTAAAAATATGTCAATATTTTAGACCGACTAAAAAATTAAATATAATTAAAATGAAGCAAACGACCAAAAAAAACTAAAGTCGAGTTATGAGTAGAAGTTACTAGCATGTTAATAGGATTCTTGCTTTATAAATAACTTTTGAAAAGAATATGCCTTGTAGACTAGCTAGCTCCAGAGGTGTTGCATAAAAACTCAAATAATATTAAGTCAGCTTTAAAGAAAATTACGAGGATGATTATTGAGGAGAATGGTTAATTGAACTCATCCCAAACATACAATCAAAGATTTGGTCACTGTCAAATAAAATGTAAATCTAGACCGTACGTTTCCATTATTTCCCCCCGAAACAAACGTCCCATAAACGCACTCTCATTGGTGAATTTGTTATGAGTTTAATTTGAGTATGAATGACTTTTAACTTTAATTAAGATGAGAATTTATCGAAAATTCTTATATTTTATCATAATTTTCTTGATCTTTATCTATAAAATTATGTTAAATATATTATTATTGAATAACTTGTATATCATAGGATCGGATTGTTTCTATGATAATAGTACAAGCAAATGACTAAAGTAAGTGAATACCATTAGCTTAATAGATAAGCCAAGTAATGCTCTTATACCATCAAATTATATTAGTTGAATCCATTAAGTAGTTCATAGAGGAATTTTACTAGTCTATTTAGTTGAGTATCTAAGCTAAGATAAATCGTAATTAACGTAGAGAATAATTATATTGTTGTTAAACCTTAGAAGAAAGGAAAGCCAAAAACAGCAAAACTCAGCTGTCTTTCCCTTGAAACAAAATTAAAGGGATGAGTACAAACTTTAACAATTCATCCAGACAAGTCCAGAAGAATATTACTATAACTAATTCGATAATTAAATATTCCTTTGCCTTCCACGTGTCATCTCATTTCCTCGACTACTCACGAAGTTTCTAATTCTTTTTTTTACATGTATATATAACCGACTCATTTTTTAAAATAAATGAATGCCATAGAAATCTCAAAAATTAATCTTAGTGAAATTATTATTTGTGAGATGTGGCAGCAGACGTGGAATACACCTTACCGGAAAGATGACGTGGAAGCCGGAGCAAGGCCGTTGTATCCGGCGATGTTGGAGAATCCACAACTCCGTTGGGGTTTTATTCGGAAAGTTTACTCAATTTTGTGTTTTCAGTTGCTCATCACTATTGGTGTTGCCTCTGTGGTTGTTACGGTTCACCCAATTGCACATTTTTTTGTGTCAACTGGGGCAGGATTAGCTCTCTATATTCTTCTTATCATCTCTCCCTTCATCAGTAAGTCTTTTCTTATCTGCCGTCTTTATTTGTTTAATCTTAATTATTCATGAACTGATATATGGGATGTGTGCAGCATTGTGCCCCTTGTATTACTATCACCAGAAACATCCGGTCAATTTCTTGCTTCTTGGGTTGTTTACAGTTACTCTGGCCTTTGCTGTGGGATTGACTTGTGCCTTCACCAGTGGTAATTAATTAAATTTTTTTATCTGCTACTGCATGCTTATTAATTTTGAGAATTGCTTCATGTCTACTTTGATAATTGTCAGGGAAAGTAATATTGGAGTCCGTCATATTAACCACAGCAGTTTGACCGTATACACATTTTGGGCAGCAAGGAGAGGCCACGATTTCAATTTCCTTGGACCATTCTTATTTGGTGCCCTTATGGTTCTCATGTTGTTTGCCTTTATTCAGGTTCGTACGTCTACTTGCCAACTTTCTTGTTCAAAATCACTACTATATATATATATAAATATTTAGAAGAGATAACCAATCCATATGTTTATTTTTATTGCA